CGTCACACTCTGTATATGCTTCACCCCCGTTAAAGAAACCTGGCACCCACTGGATAAGAGGCTGGGTGGGCCCCAGAGCTGGTCTCGACACAGACTACAGGAAAAATCCTCTGCTCCTTTCAAATATCAAACGTCGGTCATCCAGCCGACCGAGCTACCCCAGTTTCAATACTTACAAATTAAACTGATACAGCGAGTCGAAGTGAAAAGTTCTGTGAAACATTCATCTCGCCAGAGTTCACTGTTCGTGCCACGATGTTGTACAATTTTGCAATGACCTTGAACCTTGCAATCTGGTGATGCCATGTATATCATTGAAGAAAATACATAGCCAATCAACAATGGTATCATGTCTTGGATAAACCAAATTAATATTAACACATTTTGTACGAATCTGGGCTTGAACTGAAACTGCCCGAGATATATTTTGCATCGCCTTCATTATCGCATACATATAGGAATATAATGCCCTAGAACTGTCCTGTACGCAAATTAAATAATGAAACATATAGAAGATTAATGGGACATGGTTATAAACTGTCAGGAATTCTGACCAACTGAATGGTTTTCACATTACAGACTTTTTAAATCTACTTAAACTTGGACATTATATAAACTTTACGACTTTCGCTGGATCATAAGTTATATGTACATGGGTAAAAGTAAAACACAGTATTGTTTAGCGAGAATTCTGTGTCAATTATAAAATCAGTCTCCTACGGTATATAATGGGGTTTACATGTACCGACAACACTTAGCACTTATGGCAGATTTAAGTTATAAAATACTGTCCTTTTCTGGTATGTCAAGGCAATGCAGCAAAGTTTAAAATTCCTCATGTCAAATATCCTCACCTTCACAGTCTTCTTTCTTCAGCCCACAAGTTGAACTTACTATCACCAACACAACAGCAACAGATGAATACAAACTTAGGATTTCCATTGTGAAATTTTGAGGCTCCTGTATGCAAAAATACCAATGAATAAGAATAAAACAGAAATATGAAGCAAAAACTCTGAGAACACTTTTAAAGTCTCCATTAAGTAAATCATCACCAATTAATTATCTTAAATAAATGGATACATGCATTCCACAAATCCTGATGTTCATAACATTTCACAAGTCCATTCTGAATGCATCACATTAAAAAAATAATACCTAATCTTATACATATAATTAAAATTGGGGGTACGTGTGTGCGTTTTTGGTTTTCCTCAAGAACGGATGGACCAATCTGCACCAAACTTTGCAGCATTATCCCATGAGACCGGGAAGAAATTTTAAAAATGTCAAAATTTGCATGAGTTCCAAGTCCTGGTACAGATGGTTCCTGTAGCTCAGAAAGCAAGAATGATAAAAAGTTGACAGTGGAACCACTCTCTGTAATGTAATGAAATGTAATGTAATAATTCTTATATAAGATAAGTACTTGTGATATTCTACAACGTTTTTACCAGCACAAAATTATTTAGTCTACGACACACTTCTTCTACAAGCTATTCACAGCTCAGCTCTTTCCGCAATAACGAAAGCGGATTGTTGACGGCAGTAATGTAATACAACATTGCCAAGTAAACAGATGATGTAACAATTAGTTTCTTAGGTAACATAACCATTGTTGTCTGTCCATATTTACATATTGCTGATATGGATCTTACACATTCCTGCCGAATGACCCTTCCGTATAGACGTATTTACACCAAAAAATGGCACAAAGACCAAGTTGTTTGTTTCAAAGAGAAGATTACAGGGGCTAGAATGCCAAAAAACTGTCCTGTGTTTTAGTCCTGGTGAAGAATTCTGTAGCTCAGAAACTAAGCACGATAAAAGAACAGTGCCAAAAACAAAGTTGCTTGCTTCGATGGAGAAATTACAGGAACAAATGGTAAAAACCTGAAAAAATGTGTTCTGGGCTTCAGTTCTGGTTGATGACCACATTTTTGAGTATTGAAAACTAACTGGAGTAGATGACTGATGACAAATGAACTAAACATTGTAAGACATCAGCTGTAATGCCAAAATTGTTCTTTTTGAGGAAGATATCCCACAAAATTTTGTGATGGGGCACGATTTCAGGTTAAACATTTAAGGAAAAACATAACTGAAACAATTTCAATAAAATATGTAAAATATAAACTATTTATTTCCAAAATACAACTTACGCCATCTAGATAACCATTTGAGTTTAAACATTGCCAGTTTCCCATTAAACTTTGTTTCGCTGCATAGAAAGTGAAGGTCAAGGTCAGTCTTTTAAAAAATTATTCAAGCGAGCAATGCTTTCCACAAATGAAACTACAACATGAATATTTAATTACTTTCTAGTTGCTGTATGATACATTTTGTAATTCAACAAATATATATGATGCAACTAAAATGAGATAAAGGAACAGGCCCTTCTGATATTTATATTAATACAGAAGGAAAGGGTAAAATCATGACAAATCTTTTTGAAACTAATTACTGTAGATAACACTGTAAAGATGGTCTTGCATTTAGGGATTATATTTTTTTCTATAATATTAAAAAACTGGGCTACATGTTGGGATGATCAGGCCTATGACAAGATGATAAGAAAATGTTAATATTTCTACAATTTTCCCATAGTAACACTGTGGGCACTCTGATAGTATATAATATACCTTACAAGGCATATTGTAGCATATAATGCATTTTTTAATCATATCAATTGAACATATGAAACAGTAGACCTTAATAATCTACAAACAAAATCTGGATCAAAATAGTTAATTAACTACCCATGGATAAACAAGCCTACGTACGATGCAGCTGGACATTCAAATGACAATAACGACTTCGATTAGTCTGTTAATCATTCCTTAGTAATAAAAATTGGTCAACAGAGTATAGAGTATGAGCCAAAATCAGTTCTTTGAAACAAATGTTGTTTTTTGAATTGGCTTACTATACGTGGATAAACCGGCAACCAATGTTAAGTATGAGCAGCACTTCACACAGTCTACGGTAACTATTATTTATTTCATCCAATTCAATAAAGATACACAACCTTACCTCTCACAAATACTGGCAAGAAATGTGACGAATTTGCCTCTCTCCTTGCTTCTCACGTCATATTTTGTGGAGATCCATGAATGTTAACACATCAACCAGTTGGCGAAATGTCATTGGTTAGAATACCTACTTCCGGTTACGTCAAAATAATGGATGACAACTTCTGGAAATTTCACCTACAGTGATATCCGTACATTGGCTCCATATTCAAATTACCCATTTCAATTCTATGCATAACAGAGAGCGTATTATTTCATTTCAACAAAAAATATTTGAATCCGAGTCCATTAATTGGATTACGTACTTTTAAGAGTATCTCTTATCTCTGTCCTTATGCACTGTAGAAGAATTTACTTTAAACAATAATTCTGTTATTACAAATATGTATAATAATGATGATGATTCCTTGATGTAATTACTTTACTGTAGTACTATATTATATCAGATATGTCTGTAAATAATCTTAAAACTTTGCATACCGTGCAGTGTGTTGGAATATAAAATCATGCATACAAACAAAACTGTTTACACCTAAAAGGACACTAATGCCAAAAGTGTTTTGACCTCAAGAGGTCATCAGTTGCAAAACAAATTAATTCATATAATACGATTCAAAAGACTATGGTTCTCTATAGAGCATACCTTCTATGCTCTATAGAAAACCATATATATATTTTCCAAGATTTATTTATGGTAACTGGCTTAATGATATCCCATGCCTTTTAAACTTAGGCAGCAAATATTTTTCCATTGTCTTATTACATAATGTTTCCATTGGGATGCAATGGGTGCTATCTGGAAGAATTAAAGCCTTTTCTAGCAGATGTTTTGAGTTCAAATGTTTTCAGCCTTGTGAAAAAGTTATGATGAAATAATGTAATTTTGTTTTTCCTATTTGTTTCAAGAAATGTGGTTTGTTAGCTTTGCCTAATGCACGGAATTTAAGTCAGTGTGAACCAGAACCATTTGCACAACAGAAAACTGTTATTTTCTTTGCTCGATTTATGGTCAAGTGCACTCTGCTCTGTTTAAAAAGCTGGAGCCTTTACTGGCAGGAACTTTGAAAATAACCATTTCATCAGAATTATTATTTTGATCTAGCTGTAAATTTTTCTTTTAAATGAATATATTATGATAAAATCCAGTAGCGACCTTGTGATCACTACTCTGACTTTTTTTCTTAATGGTCATTTGCTGAAAAACATGTTAGTTTTTAAATCTCACTAGCCAGTCTGAGGATGGACCCCAACTACAACCATCCTAGATGTACCATACAATTACTCACTCCTAAACGTACCTATGCACCAACTTGAAATTTAATGGAATGATTTGGGTGTAATGGAAAGCACAGAATGTTGCTATATGAAATGCAGCACCATGGTCAGAGATGAGTGGTTCTGATCTGCAGCAGAAAACACAAATTCTACTAACTGACAGGGATTAAGGAAGCTCTGTGTCACCTGCAAGCCAATATATTTCATACTGGTAACAGTTCACCACATTGACCAGAGCACAATCAAAACAAAGAATATCCCTGTTTGCGCATTGCATACATACCAGGCACACTGTGATGGAGCACTGGCGTAAGATTTCAAGTAAAATAAAAATGTACAGTGGTTCTTTGGAGGGAGAAAAAACCCTATTGTTGATCCACAAAGTAGATATTCCCTGATGAAAGACTCTCAGGTTATGAGCATTGAAAGCTTCACTTTATACATCAGAAACCTTTATGGGGAGAAAACATTAAAAAAATAAAACCTGACGCGGCTTGTAACCCGAAAGTCGTTCATCAACTTCAGTCGCCACGCAAGCTTCACTTTATACATTTGATTATCCCTGCCTGCAGATAATCAAATGTAAGGTAAGGTAAGGATGACTGACTGTGGAAAGGCGGTCAGAACGCTGGCCTTGTAATCCTGGGGTCTCGGGTTCGATTCCCGGCGGTGCCCGAATTTATAACTTGTGTTGGGCAAGGCCGTGGTCTAGGCAACACGGAGTTTTCCTCCGGGGGCGTCCCCGGTTTCTCCGTGGCATCCCAACAATTACTCCATTCACACACAGAAGAAGGCAATGGCAAACCACTTCTGGATCATCTGCCAAGAACGTATATGAACAGGTCCCAGTCCGAGAAAAGGATGGAAGGATCCTGTTCATATGGACCTGTCGTCAGACAGAACACTACAAATAACTGTACATGTATTTCCCATACTTTGTGCTAACCTTTGAAGGATTTTACAAGTGTACAACTTGTCCTGATCAGCTAAAAGGCTTAATCAAAGAGTTTAGTGACTGAATACCTATTTTGTTATTACCATCCTTCAAAATACCCTCTCGCATGCCGGCATACACTTGTTCCAGAACTCCTGTGACTGCTGGAAACATTTCTGGAAGTCTACTTTTTGAATCATGTGCATACAGTGTGTCTTGTTGCAAATTATGTCTTCAATTATGTCATCGCTTCCCATTCATTTCTTTGAATTTGAGGAATACTCAAAAGTCACATGGTGACAAGTCAGGAGGGTAGGCGGTTTGCAACAAAGTAGGAATGGTTTTACCCATCAAAACTGACAGATAGAGAGTGATCTGTTCAAACCTTTGGTCAGGATTATCTAAACTCAGCCAAATTATAGTCGTTTCCAAAATGGTTAAATCCCAGTTTGCTTGGACACGAGCAACATTTTTCTTGCTTCCTGATGTCAGTGTGCGATGACTTCTTCGTCCTCCACCGATTCATTTCCCTCTTGGAACCTCTAAAACCATTTTAAAACTTTCTTCCTTTTCACACCATCATTTACATAGGCTGTTATGAGCATTTCATACATTTCTGAAGCTGGTCTGCCAACTCTGGAACAGAACTGCATGTCTGCACATTGCAAACATTTCATCATTTTATATACACGCTGAATGTAACAAACGTGTGCTCACTGAAGACACATGCATAAGGGTTTCCATCATACACAAACTGCCACACCTTTACCATTCTCATGTCTTCTTGTGGCAACATCATTCACTGAGCTTTTTGATCAAGGCTTGTAGAACAATACATTCGACAATGGTACTAATAATGACAATGGGAGGCTGCCATATGTTACTCTTGCCTCCACCAGTCACATAATAATGACACTGATGACAAATATTCCCCACTTAATGGTACCTGCACCTTGTCACGGTGGTGGGGCTTGAGTACCTCAGTGAGCTATGCTGGTGGTAGCATTGCTACTGGTAGGGCCTCCCTAGCCAGATTGGTCAAGGGGGAGAGGTCAGATTAAGACAGGTATCCTGGTCCTCCAGGTTGGGGGTTGGTCACAAGGGTAACAACCTTGCACTGTAAAAAGGAAGATGTTTCGAAACCTCAATCAACGCCTTGGACAGACGGACCTAACAGAGGACCAAATGGAAGAGGAGAATTGAGGAGGCCATGGACCGAATACGGACCGGAGAGACATAGAAGAAAAAGATGACAATCTTAACTTTTAATATATTTTCGGCACAAACTGCTATTCCCCATTGATGATATCCACAATAGAAATGAATAATTCAAATCTATTTAAAAGTCAATCATTTTTATTTGCACAGCTGAAATTAATCAGGCTTTACTTTTACCTTATCTTTCAGAAACAGGGGATTTAAAGTCCTATAACGCTGGTTAACATTTTAGTGGTATTCTAGAGACACGGGACCAGCTGCACCATGCATAAGCCACAACACACAGTAATAATATTAAATATAACATACTGATCCTGCAATAAGGTTCTTGCACACTGTGAAAATGGGCTGTGTTGCCAACATTTACAAGGGACAAACTGCCTCATCAGGAATTAAGTGATAAGCATTAGTAAGCAGATGGTTAGAGCTATGCTGGTGGTGTCATAGCTACTGGTAGGGCCTCCCTACCCAGATTGGTCGAGGGGGAGAGGTCAGACTAAGACAGGTACCCTGGTCCTCCAGGTTAGGGGTTGGTCACAAGGGTAACAACCTTGCACTGTAAAAAGGAAGATGTTTCGAAATCTCAATCAACGCCTCGGACAGACGGTAGGACCTAATGGAAGAGGAGAACTGAGGAGGCCGTGGACCGAATACGGACCAGAGAGCCATAGAAGAAGAAGTAGATGGTTTATACAGGGACAGGAGATGGGTAAGGTGGATGGAGAGGGATTGGCCAATAAGAGCCTGTATGGGCAGACAGGAATGAGCTCTTTTTGGAGCATCGGAAGGAAGATTTGGATAATACAGAGAAAGGGAGAAAAAGTGGTCCCTTTAGGGGATGGACAGTGTGGCGGTGAGACCATATGTGGTTGGGGGTCAGTGACAACAGGAGCCGGAAGGAGAGATGGGAGGAGTCAAATGAAGTTATGGAGTTGATACAGCTGTAGTTGGCTTGGGTATTTCTGTGGTGTTCTCTCTGCTCCTTCAGATGAAGTCCTTCCAGCTTTATTTCCGAATTCATTGTTCTCTGGCTCTTAATAAGAGTTCTCAATATGTAGGATTTGAGGTTTTCATGGTGGTGAGTCTGAAGATTGCTGTCTTCTGGGTTGTTGCGCCATGTAGTCTGGTAGAAGATCATCGCCCTGATGATGGAGGCAGGAAGGACCTCTGAAACGTCAGTAAACTTCTACCAGACTACACGGCGCAACTACCCAGAAGACAGTAATCTTCAGCTCTCAATATCTTTAGCAACCTCATAAACTGTGATTCTTAAATAGCTTATAAATAATTATGAGACAAGTTATGATACAATTTTTAACTTGTAAAGTGATCAGTGGTGAATCTAATCCACCTTTTGTCTCTCAGCTGCAGTTTTCATAAAAATTAATTTTATAACAATGAAATTGAAGTAAATGTTATGGAGTGATGGACATGGAATACAAAAAAATAAATAAATAAATAAAAATATTAATTAATTTTAATACTGATCTAATGTCAAATAATCCTTTCACCATCTCTTTGCATATGGATTATTTTCTGGGCTGTGACACTATATGGTCTTGTAGGTGGTTATCAGTGTTGCAGAGGAACGTATCCCTCCAATTGTTAATGACGGTCTGCTGATTTCCAATGCAACGTGGACTTGTAGGGAGATACCGACATTTTGGAGGAATATACTGAAATCATCTTTAGCCCTCAAGACCCAAAACACTAAAAACCTCCAATCTCATTATCACCTCCAACTTCACCGTGACCAATATCACACCACATTACCACCCAGAAGACCAAAACTGATAAGAATCTCAAATCTCAGAAGATTTTACTAGTTTTCCAGCAGTTGCCAGCACGTGCCTTGAGGAAGTACAATATTAACATAGTTTACATTATCTTGCACAAACAAAACAATTTACATGGATTTTATGTATAAAATGAGAAAACATGTACACAGAACAGAAAGACTGTGAGTTACTCTTGTATGCTATGCGAGGAGTAAACAAAAAATTACTCACGGCATGTACTAAATATATAAACGTGACACACAATCAGTAATAATATATGTAACATAAAATTAATAATTTAGAATCTTTACAAATTTTTTTTGTATTTGGAAACAACAATAACAAACAAAAATATATAACATACATCCTTATTTTTGGACTGGAAAATTAAAATATCAAGTATTCATGTACAACATGCTTCAAAATAAATAAAATACAGGTACCAAAAAAAAAAAGAGAGATTACTTTGGAATTCATTATTGTAGGTGGTATTCTGTTATACGAGTAAAGCTGACTTGGATACACTGATACTTTTCGTCAATCAAATGACGGTGTGAATTTGCTTTGAGAGCAACAGAAAATACAAAATTTGTAAGTACAAACTGCTGACACTCAATTAGTCTGAATATGTCTCCTGGTTTGTTGGTTTTTGTGTTTTACAGTAACAAATACACCTTAGCTATGGATAAGACAAGACTAAGTTATACTGCGAGATTTAAACTGCATATTGTTCAGTACGCAGAGAAACGTGGCAAAAGACCTGCATGTTGTAAATTTGATGTGAATGAATGGTATAAAAAGAGATGATTAAGAAAAAAATCTAAAGAATGCTCTTAAAAGTAAGTAGGCATTTTGTGGTAAGCAAAGTGCCTTCCCTCAAACCGATAACGATGTCAATGCTCATGTTGTGTACTTGAAGAAGTCTAGCTATGTGTACAGTTTCTACTGAAATGCTGTAGTTGAAAGCTTCTAAAACAGCACAAAAATTTTAAATTGAAGGCTAGTTATGTGTGGGTTTGACAGTTCAAGAACTGTTGACAGCCTTCAATTTGTAGGACTACATTTCTCAAAAACCACCTGATGCGGGGGGGGGGGGACAACAACAACAACCAACTAATTAATCTTCAGAAATGTGTGGTTTCACTACCCTTTATCTTAAGTGAGACTACTATGCAGGCTTCATGCATATTTTTGCTGATGTGCTTCACTCTGTGGAACATATTGTAGACTACGTAAAATTTTCTTTAACATATCTGTTTGGTAAAATTTTTTGTGGCTTCCAAAGCTACCGGCACTCCTCAATAAATCACATTTTGTATTTTAGTGGTGCACTTCAAAGCACCAAAACACAGCCCTACGTAACACTCTCTGCACTTAACTTGCACTCTCTTTTGTATCCCTTGTACGAAACAAGCACGCCGATTCACTCTGGAGGAATGAACTGGCCAACGACTTCTGAAATTCAATTTACGTAAAGGGAGTTTTCTCTCTACGACAACTGGTCTGGCAGTGGGACAACACAAATGAGGTAAATTCCCAGCATTTTCAATAAAGTTTCGCATGACAGCTAGACTGAAATTTATATGTTCTGTTTTGGCATCACATAATGTGAGGAGGAATACGCAGGTGGAAAAAAGCTTTCTGTCTACTTCCATGTCCACCACTAATATTGAGTAACCGTTTATCATTCTATCTCCTTTGCCAAAATATTCTTTTCGCTAGTTACAATCCTGTACAATATGCAGCTTCAAAGCATTTCCATGTACATCACAAAAGTTGCCCAAGGAATTCATACTTTCTGGAAAACCTCTTACAAAATGACATCTTGGAAGACCAAGAAGAAAAAGGGAGGATCACAGTAAGATAGCTGTTAGGTTAACAGGTTAGCGAAAATCTTAGGAGGGGAAAAATATTTTCGCTAGTTACAATCCTGTACAATACGCAGCTTCAAAGCATTTCAATGTACATCACAAAAGTTGCCCAAGAAATTCATACTTTCTGGAAAACCTCTTAGAAAATGACATCTTGGAAGACCAAGAAGAAAAAGGGAGGATCACAGTAAGATAGCTGTTAGGTTAACAGGTTAGCGAAAATCTTAGGAGGGGAAAAATAGCTCAAGATCATGATTAATGGTAGATTTTGGTTCAAGTAGTGCTGAAACTTAGAGTGTCTTCTATCACAGTATTAATTTAGAATATGTATGTATGACATTTAACTTTTCTGACTGGGCAATGTTCAGCACACAAAATAAAATAAAAACATAGAAATGAATACTGAGTGATGTCATATACCTCCTCTTGCAATGATACTACCAGCCGAGACAAAACAGACGGCTCTCTGATCAGAAAATACGCAACCTCTTCCGCGACACAAATGCTTTTCCCCATTTGAATCAAATTTGGCTCTCAAATTTTCCTTACTCTGTACATAGTCTTCACTTTCCAAAATTTCTAAATTCATATTCTTTGAACATTCATTCACATCTCCACTTGAACTGGGTTCGTCTATGACATGCTCCAAGAGCGTTTTTATGTTTGGTAAGTTACAAATCTGTTTATTCTTCTGTTTATCTTGTGCTGTTGCTCTTCTTCGACAGCCTTCTTTCCTGCTAACACATAATATATACAAATAATATTAACAGACCACAACTCACAATTAAGTCTTGTATGCTGATCATAAATATGACAATCAAACAGTTGTAACATGCACAGTCTTTTGTCATCATTTTTGTTATTTGTATGAAAGAACGAATGTACATATCATTTACTGTGCAATTTGAAACTATTACATTATTTAAATGAAAATAAATCATTATTCACTATTAAACACAATATTTTTGCATTACGATTGACAAAAATAAAATTAAAATGGCTATTCTGGCCCAAAATTCAATTAAAGTAAAATTAGTTTTGCTTTAGGAATGGTTCTATCTTTGCCTTGCAAAGACCAAGAACAACCATCCGTCATGGTTGGACTCCATTTCCTTGATGGAGCTGTTCCACTGCATTTATATCCTGTAGAATTCTTTCGTCTTGTTCGCCTTGTTCATTACCCTAACAACATTTTGTAAAGAGTAAAAATTATGCAATCTTATCCAGTCTCTTGTTACTACAGCCTTCTTAGATGTAAATATTCTCTGAAGCACCCTGCTCTTGAACAGTTTCAATTTCTATTCTTCCTTTAATGCGAGACCTAAAAACCAAAAAGATCAACATATACAAAAACTACAATCCCACCAATTCTTCTGCATGGGTCTTGCACTCAAAGAGAAGAAGATACAGAATGTCGTGTGTAAGAACAAATACTGAGGAGAATATTTGGACCTAAGAGAGAAAAAGACAGAGTCCATTTCCACATTACGAAACCTGAACCAAATCAAAAAAATAATATAATAATCAAACACGTCTCTTTGTAAGTGTCAACACGATACTTAAAGTGTTCGAATGAGACAACAGAAAAATTACTTGAAAGCTACAGTAAGAATTAAGACTTACACCACAATTTAATAAAAGACAAGAAGTATCTTTACATATACATGCCCCTGAGCTATAAACTTTGTCATGAGCAGTTAAATTAATGCAAAAATCCATGTTCCCTAACATTAATTGCGTATTATAACTCCCTACCATGGATCGAAAACAAATTCTTAAATCAAAATGGTTGTAGCTGCTGCACGTCACAGCAAAATAATGACTTGAAAGACAAATCAGATATCTGCTATTTCCTAGAATCAATAAAATTAAGTCTGCTGTAGAAACCGAAAATCCTACTCGGTCTTTTACTGTGTGCACAGGAATCCTCAAATGGTCTGCCTCCTGTACCAGATGAATCCAGTCCACACCTTCATAAACTAACAATATGCTCTTAAAATAATTGACTATCTGACTTTTTCCATCGTCCTGGTTTAAAAGGAAGAAACCGCAACGTTTCGGAAACTGGCTCTGTTACCGTCTTCAGGCAAAGGGTATCTACTCAGTTGAGTCCGTCAGATAGAGCTAGTCTCCATCGCTGGACAACATGTCATCCAACTGTGTCAACGTATCCACCTGGGTACAAGTCTTGTCAGCAGATGGTAGTAAGAATATGATAAAATAAAAATGGATATGTTGAGACAGAGCCAGTTTCCGAAACGTCGTGGTTTCTTTCTTTTAAACAAGGATGATGGAAAAAGTCCAGATAGTGAATAATTTTAAGTGCAATCCACCATCGTCAGAACCCTTTAGAATCAAATGACAATATGCTCTCTACCTTGCAAAACGTACATAATCATATCTTTTACATATTGAATTTAACCTCACCTTTTACTTTCTTTGTCTGATATGTGTGTTTTCTCAAAGTTACTTGTCTGAAAGTAAACCTTATGCCTGTGTTGACCGTAATCACCTTTACTGCTCTCACTGGATGATATGTCAGTCTCTGAAACAAGGCATGTAATTCAATGTAAGATTTGAGGTTTTCACAACGGTGAGTATGAAGATTTCTGTCTTCTGGGTTGTTGCGCTGTGTAGTCTGGTCGATGTTAACCAACGTTTCAGAGGTCATACTGCCTCCGTCATCAGGGCGATGAGTATGAAGATTTCTGTCTTCTGGGTTGTTGCGCT